GGAACCACCTGAGGTGGCCTCCGCCCGGGAGAGCATCGCGGCCCTGATGGGCAAGCAGAAGCAGCTGCACAAGGAGAAGGTGTCTGGGGAGGGGAGGAGAGTGGGTTTAAGAGGCAGGCGAGGAGGGAGACCTAGGAGGTCAGTCCACAAATGCTGGGTGACATTGCTAAACTCTTCAACCTCTCTGTGCTTCACACTCCTCATCTTTCAGTGGGAGCAGTCATGATGCAGCCCTCACTGGGCCTTTGGAGAGATTAAAGTCAATGCCTGGCACACACCAGAGAGTCAAGATCAGGGCTTTCCCGTAACAGGAGCCTCTGTTCTGGGGTTACCCAAACTAGGGGAGGGACTTCAGGGTATAATGAGACCTGGGGGCTGGGGCTCCGCAACTAGTTATCCACCTGGCTCCAGGGTTGGGTGGGTGGCTGGGGCGCAAGAAAGTGCGCAGAGACCGTGTTGGAGCAGCCCCTGGTTGTAGGCCCAAGATACCCCTTCTGAGGGTTGGCCTCGCAGGGTGCCCTACCCCATTCCTGGAGTTTGGAGGCTGGAGGGGCGAGGACAGATTGGGCAGGCGGGCGCTGCCTGGTGCTGATCGCCCGCTGCCCGCAGCTGGCGCTGGAGCAGCGCTGCCGGGAGTTGCGTGCGCGGGGCCGGCGCCTGGAGGAGACGCTGCCGCGGCGCATCGGCTCGGAAGAGCAGCGCGAGGTGCTGAGCCTGCTGTGCCGCGTGCACGAGCTCCAGGTGGAGAACACAGAGATGCAGTCGCACGCGCTGCTCCGCGACGGGGCGCTGCGCCACCGCCTGGAGCAGCACCGCAGCCTCTGCGACGAGATCATCCAGGGTCAGCGGCAGATCATCGACGGTAGGGCCCGCGCCCCGCGTGTCCGCCCCACTGGTGGAGGGCCCGCAGGCCCGCGCTGAGCCCTGCCCTCCCCTGCAGACTACAACCTGGCTGTCCCCCAACACCTGGAGGAGCTCTACGAAGTGTACCTGCGGGAGCTGGAGGAGGGCAGCCTGGAGCGGGCCACCATCATGGACCGCGTTGCCTCCAGGGCCCTGCAGGTGGGCGCCTGGGCGCGTGAGCATGTGGTGAGGGAGGGGCTGCCGCCCAGGGCAAGGCCTGGAGAGTGGGTGGCACCAGGCTATCTGGCACCCCAAGGAGGTGACTTCTTTCTTACTCCACCCAAGCTTTGCCAAGCCTGAGTAAGGTCCCCACCCAGACGCTGACGCCTGTCCCTACCCAGGGTCTGAGGGCCAGGATAGGCCACCTGAGATATCCTGAATGGCCCCAGATGCCCTCCGAAGAGACCAGGCCACCAGCAGCACCACTAAAAAGCTAAAACCTGGCCGACCACAGCTTGGCCCCGAGGATCCAGAGCCCAAGGCCTCCCAGCCTAGGTTGCAGGCCATGTCCTGTGTGTGCTCTGTCACCCGGTACCGTTGCCTGCCCCAGGACCAAGTCTCCTGACGGTCTGCCCCTGCTCTTTCCTTCCCCAGGACAGTTCCTTGCCCAAAATCGCCCCAGCAGGAGCCACACTGACCCCAGACTCTGACCTGGAGAGCGTGAAGACGCTGAGCTCTGAGGCTCAGCACCTGCAGGGCAGCACACTCCCGGCCCTGGGGACGGACAGGTGAGGCAGCCTGCTGCCAGCCACCTGCTGTGTCCTGTCTGGGATGCCACACTGATCCGTGCTGAGTGGGAAGATGAACTAGAATGAAAGGGAGGAAGTGGCACAGGCCTGGAGCTGGGACTCCCGGGTTCTCTGTCCCTTTGGGCCAGCAGCTTCTCCCTGGGGTGGGCTGGGATGTCATAGCCACCCCATCCTCTCTGTCAACTTCAGTGACGCCCGCCACATGTTCAAGGCCAGTTCCCGGGCCTGGCAGGTGAAGAGCTCCTCTGTGCCCACCCCGCCTCCCATCCAGGGTGGCAGCCTGGTGACCCAGGAGGTGAGTTCTGGGCACCTGTTAGCTCCAGGAGCTCTACTGCTGGGGTAGGGGCTCAGGGGTGGGTACCCAGCAAACAGTCTTTGCAAAGCGGCCACCACCTCTGAGACCCTGCAGCCCTGCTGAGTGGGGCATGGGGTCCCTGTTCAAGGCCTTCCTTTTCCCAACCACTTCACCCCCAGGCCCTGCCTCCAGACAGCCTGGGTAGCCATATCACCTCTTCCCCAGACAGCAGCGAGAACCTGTCAGAGATCCTCTTGTCCCACAAAGGTGAGCTGCCCCCTGCCTGCCCTGCCTGGCACCCTCTAAATTGCTCGGCTCGGGGGTGGGAATGTGGCAGTGGAAGAGCGCACAGGCCCTGGGTGCAGTCTCCAGCATGGTGACTCACACCTGTAATCCCAGCCACTCAGGAGGCTGAGGCAGAAGGATTGCAAGTTCAAGGCCAGCCTCAGCAATTTAGCAAGGCTCTAAGCAACTTAGCAAGACCCTGTCTCAAAAAATAAAACGGGCTGGGGACGTGGCTCAGTGGTAAAGCACCTCTGGGTGTTTTAATCAGTCAATCACCAGTACAAAAAAAAAAATGATCAGTTCACCCAGCCCAAAGCCCTTTCTTGTTCTCTGCCCTGCTGAATGAGCCCATGCATTGAATGCTGCCACTCTATAGAGACACGAGTGCCACCTGCTCAAGGACACATAGAGATGACGGCACAATCAGAAACTGAAATGGGGACACCTGCACTTTGAATCATGCCCCCCCTGCCCACTCAGTGATCATTCTCTGTTGATCGTCTAAATGAGCCTGTGGGGTTAGTTTCCCATGCCATTTACAGATGAGTGTGTCTTAGCCAGCAAGCCAGGAGTCCTGTTTCCTGCTCATTTCTGCCAGGCAGAGACGGGGTGTAGAGTGGCCCTGACCCCATGTCCTGTGCTGCAGAGAGGAAAGAAATCCTGACTGGCACCAAGTGCATCTCGGTGAAAGCTGCCCGGCGGCGCTCTCAGGCCCTGGGCACGGAGGGGTGCCACCTGCTGGCGCCTGCCATGGAGCGCAGCAGCCTGTCCCTGCACTCTCTGAGCGAGGCTGACAATGCCTGGCCACCAGGCCCACTGGCATGCAAGCGGCCACCCAGCCCCACGCTGCAGCACGCTGCCAGCGAGGAGAACCTGTCCAGCAGCACAGGAGAGACCCCATCTCAGGCGGTTGGGCATCGAGGTGGCGGCCCTGGGTTCTGGCTGCACGGCCAGAAGAAAAGCCCAGGCAAGAAAAGGGAGGAGTCCCTGGAGGCGAAGAGGAGGAAGCGGAGGTCCCGGTCCTTCGAGGTCACAGGGCAAGGGGTGAGGTGTCTGGGTACCTTCCTTGTGGGTGGTAGCTCAGGGCTGGCTTCTTGCAGAGCCCTAGGGCACCTCCAGCCCTGCACACCCTCGGCTCCGCCCTCCACAAGGCCTCTGTCCCAGGCTGGCCCAGGAGCCAGGCAGAGCCCTGTGTCAGACCCTCAGGCAGTGCCTGGCCTCACCTCACTGTTCCCAACCACCACAGCTCTCCCGCCCCAAGACACATCTCCTGGGGCCCCGGCCCTCAGACAGCACCTCGGACCACAAGACGCCAGTGGGTGGGCACCCAAGCCCTGGTGTCAGGCACCTGGGAAAGGTCACGCTGCCTTTGGCCAAAGTCAAACTCCCCACTGGCCAGAACACAGGTCAGTACCCTCAAGGGAGGGAATGGGGAGGGGGAGGCCTTGCCAGCCCAGGGAGAGGCATGTCGAGGTCCCTGCCCCTAGGACTGGCCCTGACTGGAAGCATGCTTCTTGACAAACATCATAGGACTAGCAACTTGGGCTACCCTAGGGAGCCCAAGGCCACAGGGCAATGGGGGAGCAGATGGCAGGGCATTTCTCAACTACTGACCCTGGCCCTTCCCTCTTGTAGGCGCTGGAGACCTCTCAGCCCTTACTGTCCCCCCCAACCCAGCTGGAGTTTCCCGAAGGGTTACTCATGGACCCCACCTGCACCACGGGTCAAGCACGCATGGCAAAGATGGACGCTTCCGGCACAACTGAGGGGTCCTGCCTGGAACCAGCTATTCTGCCCCCAAGGCTGAATGGGGGGTGTAGCAGGGAAGGGGAAATGGACCCTGGGCATTGGGGATCATCAGGTGGAGCAGGAGCTCAGAAGGTTGGGGCTCCTGAGACCCAAGAGTTGTGGGGGTGTCTGCGCAGCCTTCCATGCTTCCAGTGCCACAGGGAAGGGAGGCGAGCCCAGGAGGCCCTCCAGCCCTGCTCAGAACACTGTTGCCAAAACCCTGCACACACCTGGGTTAGTCTTGGCCTTGGCGATGGGGGAGGGGAACTGTAGTGGGATGGGCTCCTGGGGCCACACCTGGGGCCAGGGCATTGGGATGGTTGGGGAGGGCCTGATAGGTACTTCACGGGTGATGGCTGGGGGTGGGGAGGGAATCTGGTTTTGTTACTTGGATATGGCTTTTCTTTTTTCCTCCTTCCTTTTTTAACAATAAAATCCCGTTTGGTTTGATGGTTGAGTTGCAAACTAGACCTTATCTGAATGTCGCGTGGGCTCTGTGGTTGGGTCCAGAGGTGGGGCGGAGTCAGGACGAGGTCACTCCAACCCCAACTCTGAGGGAGGGAGAGCTCTGTGGTCAGCCGGATGCTGCTTCAGCCAGCTTCTCTCCCCCTCCAACACCGCATCTCCTCCTGGCTGGCTGCAAAGACACTGCGGAGGAAGGGGCATTTCTCCAGATCCCATGCCCCCTCCCAGGAGAGAGAGGTGCAGGACTTGGAGTGGCCAGGCTCAGAAGGCCTCACCCCTCAGATGAGGTGGCTGCTGCTGGAGGTCAGGGCTCAGAATTGCCCGGCTAAACCCCACAGGTCAAGGTGGGCTGGCAGGTGGCACTGAGCATTTGAATGCTCTTACCTGACCTGTTCCATGGGGGAGAGGGGGAGCTCAGAGAGAAACTCAATGAAGGGCAGGGGGATCCCCAGGCTTGCGACTATCCCTGGGTGGCTTTTACCCAGGCGTGGGTGGTTCAATCATCCCTTCACCTCTCTGGGCATCCATTTATTCAGGGCCAAGCGCTGCCTACATGTGAAACCGCTCCTGAAGCCGGACATCTGGTCTACCACCGCTCACCTGGCCTCCATCCAGCCCAGCGTCGCCAGTGCCTGATCGCCCAGGGCCCAGGCTGGCAGTCATCTCTACACTGGCCTTGTCCCTCCCAGACCCTGGTGCCCTCTAGGCAAGACTTTTATTTCCCAATCCGGAGGCTACTTGGGGGTCCGGATGAGGGTGTGGTACACAGGCTTGACGATGAGGTGCAGATGCAGGGCGTTCTCCACCAGGTACTCGGAGTTGCGCCGCTGCAGATCGGCGTGCGCCAGGAAGTCTCCCGCCTCCTCGCTGCTCTGGTGGAAGCTGTAGGCGTGGCGCACCAGCAGGCGGCCCTGCTGGCGCGCCCCCACCAGCACCGTCTTTTGGAAGCTCACTCCCGCAGCGTCGCCGCCGCTGCTGGCCGGCGTGACCACAAGCCTTGGACGGCCGTCCTCTGGGCGCGCCGCGGGCAGCGCGGTACCCGCAGCGTCCGCGTAGACGGGCCGCAAGCTGACGGGCAGCCAGCGCGGCGAGAAGAGCACGTTCCATGTGATCCGGCGGCCGGCGTCGTGGCCGCTCGGGCCCAGCTGTGTCTGGAAGCTGGTGCTGCGGTCGTCGCGGGCCGGGTTATTGATGACCCACGGGGCGCCCCAGGCGGGCGCGAGGTAGTTGCGGGGCAGGAAGGCGCTACCGTTGACGTCGAAGAACTTGGCGTAGTGCAGCGGCGAGGCGGCGTGGAACTGGTAGGCCTGCAGCAGGAGGTCCGCCACCGCCAGGCCGTGCCGCGCCAGGACCGCTGAGCGCGCCTGCAGCTGGAACAGCTGCGCCGGCGGGATCATGGGGTATCGGATGGCGCGCAGCGCCCGCTCTGCCACGGCGGGGGGCGGCCGCGCGCGGCCCAGCCACACCTCCAGCGCGTGGAACAGCTCCAGTTCGTCCTGCAGCACCAGGTCCGAGCGCTGCAGCAGCTGCGCCAGCAGCTCGGGGCTCACGGAGCTCCACTCGGCGCTGCCTGCCACGGCAGACAGGTTCCAGGCCAGGAACTGCAGGCAGCTCTCACGCAGGGCCTCGTCCCCCGTGCTCACGGCGTAGTGGTACCAGCCCACCGCAGGGCCTGCGCCTCCTGCCAGGTGTGCGCGCATGTAGTCGGCCACGCCTCTCTGTAGGGAGGCCACCCGGTACTTGGTGGCCAGCTTATGCAGTGGAATGGCCTGAGAAAGCAGTATCGTCAGCTCTCCGCAATACAGGTACCTGCCGGAGAGGTCCAGAGGTGGGGCGGAGTCAGAACGAGGTCACTCCAACCCCAACTCTGATGGAGAGCTTTGTGGTCAGGGGCGCAGTCCGAGGGGAATGGGCCCTGACACTTCCCTCTTAAGGACCTTTCCACACTGTTCCCACTTGACAGCCTCTTCTCTCCGTTTCTGGTGGTGAGGTGGAAATCACGTGTGTTCCTTGAACATGTACTGGGGGCCTAACTGTGGCTAGAACAAATGCAGAGAGGTTCCTGCCGCTGTGGAGTTTGTAGTCTGGGTTCAGAGCCATGTCCTACCACCTCCTTGCCATGAGACTGGGCAAATCGTTTAACTTCCATGAACTTTGGAATCATCTAGGAAAGGGGGAACAGTATGCACCCCTTAGGGTTATGGAGTCAATGGGGGGACTGAAGAATCTTGCTACTAAGTCGGCAGTCAACACAGCTTCCTTCCTGGCCCCCCTACCTTTTCTTCTCAGTCTGCCACTGTCCACCTGCTCATCCTTCCTGCCACTGTGCCCCTGCTCACTGGGACGCACTTGGCTCTATAGGAGCCCTTCTGTTTTATCCCCCTTCCTGGAACTTGGAAGTGATGTCCAGAATCCTGCAGCTGTCTTGTCTAAGCCATTAGAACTGGAATACTTCCTTAGACCATAGTGTGAATGGTTTCCCCTGTGTAGCACACTGGCAGGAAGCGGGAGCTGGTTAACCTTTCTGCTCCCTAGCACCATGGTTCCAAACCTGAGCAGACCCAACACGACACAGATTGCTTGTCCCAACCAGTAGACCTGAAATTGACTGTCCAGGCTCAGGAATCTGTGGGGGTTTTGTGTTTTGTTTTGATTTGATTTTGTTACTGGGGATTGAACTCAGGGGCACTCAACCACTGAGCCACATCCCAGCCCTTTTTTGTATTTTACTTAGAGACAGGTCTCACTGAGTTGCTTAGCGCCTCCCTTCCTGTTGCTGAGGCTGGCTTTGAACTCCTGATGCTCCTGCTGCAGCCTCCTAAGCTGCTGGGATTTTAGGTGTGTGCCACTGCGCCTGGCTAGGAATCTGTGGTTTCTAAAAGCTCTCCTGGCCATGTTAGGAAACAGCTCTGCAGGGTTGCCAGGGGCAGGCAGTGATAGCAAACCAAACAGAGCCACAGGGGAAGTGGAGAAGGCCGAGCGCCACAGTGCTGTGTGGGAGAGGGAGGGGGAGAAGGGGCCAAAGGTGGCGCCTTGCTGTCCTGATGACATCAGGCAATGGGCGTAATGACCTCTAAGGGCCTGGACCCCCGTGGCCCTGTGGGTGGAGGAGCCAGGGCTGGGAAGAGATGAAGGCCCATCCATCCTGCCCCACCTGATGAACTTGTCGAAGACGGCGGCGCAGTCCCGGGGCTCCCGCAGCATGGCCTCGCTCTGGTTGCTCAGCAGCAACCTGAACAGCTCGCTGTGCAGCCCCAGCAGCAGGCGGTGGGCGTGGAAGACGCGGACCTCGTCGGTGCCCGCAGCCTGCACGCGCAGAACCACGTCGCTGGCGTTGCCCTGGTGCAGCAGCTCCTGCAGGCGGTGGAGCAGCATCTGGGAGTGGTTGATGGAGGTGCCCGATGCCTCCCCGCCCACATCGGATCTCTGGGCTGCAGCAGAAGGGACAGGGCACGGCCTGAGAAGGCACCCGCACCCAGGGCCTCGATCAAGGGGTGCAGAGGACCAGCTGGAGACACGCACGCATGGGTGTTGGGGAGGGCAGGAGGGCCTCGGATGGCTGTGTGGACACACCCGAGGTGCCCACGAGAAGAGCGGGTACCCGCGGCAGTCTAGGTGGGCAGGTCTTACAGACGCAGACCTGAGAGGATGCTCTTTTAAGGGGGCGGGTTCTAGGCCGGGAGCAGTAGGGACCCTCTGGGATCTCCATGTGCTGGTGTCCATGATGCCAGGCCCCCAGGAGAGGGCTGAAGAAACTTGGCTCCTATGCTTCCTGTCTCTGAGCAGTTGTCCACCCTGCCCCTCCAAGGAGTCGTCAGAGGGGCACGTATACTGGCAGATATTGAGCACGTATTATGTGCCCGGCACTCTCCCAAGAGCTTGGACTACGGCAGTGGATAAAAGAAGCCGACTCCCGTGGGGTGCCTGGAGTGCAGGGGACGGTGAGTGGGAGGAGGGGTCAAGCAAGAGCCCCTGCAGCCAGCAAGGAGGGAAAGCGTTTCCGGGCCTGGCCCTGCCCTGGAGTTCTGATCTGTGAGGCAGAGGGAGGACAGGAGAAAGTCCCAGGGGCCGGCTGGATCTGGGCAGGGCCCTGTGGGTCACTGGCTGGCACCCCCTCCAGGCTGGCCCCTGGGCTCCTCCTGTCTTGCTCCCATGGACGCTGGGGCAGTCGGATGGAGACCTGCACTCAGTTACAGAGAGCCCATTGACAGGGACGCTGCTGGCAGCCTCCCCCAGCTGAGAGCAGCACAAGGAGGCTTGCAGAAGGAGCCAGGAGGGTGACTGGCAGCAGCAGATGGCCCAGGCACACGCACACGCGGGCACTCGTGGGGAGAAGGCTCACCCAGACGGGAGCATCTCTGTGTGAGAGGCCCGGAGAAAGCGAGGGAGAGAAGCTGGGCGTGCATTTCCCAGCCCCGCCTCCCCAGCTGTCACTCTGAGGGGCCTGAATGCTAATGGCGTCCCCATTCAGCCTCTGCCCAGGCCCAGCTGCCTGGGACAATGAACAAGGGAGGGTCTTTTTGTCCTTAAGACCCCTGCCTGCTGCCCAGCCCCTTCTCTCTGAGGCTGGCTGCCCTTCTCCCTTCTGGGAGATGTCTGTAGACCTGTCCAGTCCATCCTGAATGGCCAGACACCACCCACTCCCAGGCAGCAGCTAGCAGTTAGGGCCAGAAGGGCCTGCCCCTGCACCCTGGCCCACACCCACCCACCCACAAGCCCCCTCACCTGCATGAGTGGCCAGGCCCACCAAGGTCAGCATGGTCCAGAAGCTGCCCCAGGACCCAGACTTGCAGTGGCCTATCCTAAACATCTTTGTGCTCCGCCCCTGGTTCCACTGGAGGGACACTGAAGTCCAAGCCACTCTGATCAATTGCATCCCTCCTGCTTATATAGGATCCAGCACGGGGGCACAACACCCCCCTTTCTGCCTGGCCTCCCTCCCCCCACCCAGCTTCTGCCATGGATTGGTGGAAACTGGCCCCTGCTGTTGCCCAGGCAACCACTTAAGCCAGAGAGTGGCAGCCACAGGGACTATTGTGCTGCCTTGGGCCCCCAAGGGGAACAGATCCGGACCCCCCTCCCCCACTTCTCCTCATGACCCCGCCAGGCTGGCCCTTCTTCTCCCAGAAAGTTTTAGGCCTCCTGAAGGGCAATCCAGGAGCTCCGGACCACGGGCAGCCACCAGCCCCAGGGTCCCCAGCCCCTGTCCCAAACCCCAGGCCCAGCCTCCACCCTGGCACAGGGCACGCCTGGCAGCACACGCTGAGGCACCATGACCAGCGGAGAGCAAAGGGAAGGCTGGAGGAGACGAGGGAAGAGGTGGCTCAGGCTCCCATCCCCTGCTCCCACCTGGGGTGGGCTGGCTCTCCAGAGAGAAGGACAAGACTCTCCAGTAGGGGTCCCTGGGGTAACCGGGATCATTCTCTTGTTCTTTGTTGGAAAAAGTTGCTGGCTTGCTCTGGAGTGGGCAACGGGCCGATAGGAGAGATCCTCCCTAGGGACGGTGGCCACCCCCCCACACCAGGGTCACAGTGAGCCCTGGTGGCAGGGCTGGCATAGAGCCACACACCCCCCTCCGTGCTATAGCGCATGAGGAGCACCCCTGCCCGGCGCAGGGCTGGGCCCCTCCCAGGGCGGGCGCCGGTCCACCCCTCTTCTTTCTTTCTTCAGTTCTCCTCCCCACGCAGCCCGCTCTCAGGATTCCTTCTTTGAAGCCTTCTTCCACCAGTTTCTAGTTTGCAGCTGCAACCTCTCCCTTCCCCACATTCCAAGGAGACACGCAGTGCCCCAGGCCACCGCAGGGAAACTGAGGCGGAGAGCAAGGCAGCAGCCCCAGCTGGGAAGTGCAGCGGATGCTCTTCTAGAAAGAGGCAATGGAGAGGGGCCGTCAGAGCCAGGGAGCTAGTGCGGGCGGCGCTAGCCAGGCCTCACCTTTGCTTGGAGGGAGCAGGGCCTGCCCCAGCTCCTCCAGGGAGGGACTTCACTGAGGTTGATGAACAGAAGTGGGGGGCTCCCAGGAAATCCCACCGAGTTCCTCCGAGGCCGGGTCCTGGATTAAGGACGGGCTGGAGCGTCCCTGCCCATGCTCTGTGGATCCCAGGGCTCTGCTTGATGCATTGATTTCTGCCCCCGCCGGTGCACAGAGACCCAACAGCCCACTCCCTCCCTCTCTGGAGCCACAAAGAAAGCAAGAATTGGGTCTGGCACCAGCTTCATCCGGGTTGGCAGAGTCAGAGCTGTCCTGCTCAGCGGAAACCCCTCCCAGCTGCCCCCACTCTCACGCCTGATCCCCCTCCTCCAGATCCACCATCCCTTGCCCACTGGCTGCCCGCCTGCCCTTCCTGTGGGCTGCACCATGTCCTGGCTCAACCCAGCAAGTCAGAGCCTCTGTGCAACAGGGCAGCTCAGGCCCCAGAGGCACCCCAGCTTCTGCACATAACGCTTGCCAATGGGAGCGCAGCTGATCAGAGACCCCAACGCCCAGCAAACCGTCACTCAGGAGACACATCTCTGAACACCAGCTGCCAATCACTCTTGAGGAGCAGCTCACCTGCTCTGGAGTTTCTGGTGCTCACCTAGAGAGAGATTCCCAGGAGCAGGCCTGGACTAAATACCCCAGATGATCACTCTGCACACCCCAAGCTAAAAACCTACCTAGCTGTTTGAGTTAGATGGGTGGCATTTTAAGTGTGAAGGGGAACCAGGCGTGGTGGCCCACATCTCTAATACCAGTGACTCAGGAGGCTGAGGCAGGAGGATTGCAAGTTCCAAAGCCAGCCTCAGCTCTTTAGGGAGATTCTCTGCAACTTAGTGAGACCCTGTCTAAAAATAAAAAGGGCTGGGGATGTAGCTTGGTGGTAAAGCACCCCTGGGTTCAACCCCCAGTACCAAAAAGCAGAAAAAATAAAGTTCCCTGAGACTAGTGTGTCGTCTTGTCTAACCTGAGTGACTCATCTGAACTCAGCGGGAGCTAGTAGATCCAGGATTCAAGTGTCACCAAGTTCTGCTTGGCTTTGCTTTGCACAAACCCATGACTTCTTTTCTGGGTGGTATTTCAGTCCTGATGAAAGGGCCCCCATTGGACAAGGTGTCTCCAGTGCCATAGAAACAACTGGAAATGTTCATAAGCCTGGGAAGGAGGAGGCGTTCTGGATCTGCACAGGGGGTGATGGGGCCCTGGGCTGCAGGAACATGAAGCCCTGCCCTGACCCACAGCCTCCCTTACATCTGTAATGTCCCTGTCCTGGGTTAGGGTTCTAGGAGCGAGTTGGATGCTTCACTTGGAAAGAGGGTCTCCAGGCCCCATGTATCCAGGGGCGCCCTCCAAAGATCTACCGGGAGGAATCTTTCCCTGAAATAACTCCCAAGCTGTTGGAAGCTGTTCCCCCAAGAGGGTGTCCTCCGGCTCTGAGCACTGTCCTCTGATCCATGCTGGCCTCCTCCATGAAGCTTGAGTCTACATGGTCTCTCATTTCCCAAGAAGGTTGTGTGAGCAGTAAAAAGCAAATAGCCCTGGAGAAGGCAGAGGGAAGAACAAACCCGAGTTCAAATCTCGCTGCTGTGTGCCAGCTCTGTGACCCTGGCCTATTGCTTAACTTCTCTGAGCCTCAGTCTCCTCTTGGGTAAATCCGGTAACCTCCTTGCCCTCCAACTGGGTTGGTCTTTCCCACTCCTTGAAGCAGGGTCAGTGCCTGTACTCACTCGTGGCCTCACGGGCAGGGAGGTGGTGGACGGGAGGAGCTGTCTGTCCTTCTGTCCTTTCCGGGGCTGGGGTTCCAACACTCCCCCCTGGACCTGGCCTCAGCCAGCCAGCATGCCTGGCCCAAGCCAGCTGGGTCTCCCGGACTTGCAGGATCGGGGTGTGGCCACCAGGAGGCAGCAAGGCCTTGGCTGTGAGCACCAGGGTGGGCGTCGGGGTCAGGGTAGGTTCGCTACAGCCCAGAGACGAGGGATCTGACTTAGGAGCCGGGGGGGGGGGGGGGGGGTGCCCCGACATTCCCTGGATGTGAGAAGGGATGCAGGCTGGGTCTCAGCTCTGCTCCCCTGGAGCCCCCTGGATGCCGTGTCCTGGTGTCCACAGTGGGCTGCCCTGATCACCCTTTCCCAGGGGAGGGAGCTTGCAGATGTAGGGCCGCCAGCGTTGGCTGCTATTTCCTGATATTCTCGAGGCTGCTCCATTCCACCAGGGTGGGAAGACAGTGGCCTGCAGGGCCACCGTCCCTGGTTTCCCAGCACCGACGGCAGCCTGGCCAGGCTTCTCCCAGGGCAGCCACCCCTGCACAGGGCTTCCTGCTCTCCTCCCTCCCTCCCCGCCCCTGGGGCATCCTGCACCCCAGCCCAGCCTCTGCTCACGCTGCCGTCTGACCCCCATGAACTTGGTCCCTGGGACTCTCAGGGGATCTGAGCTCTGCCACCCCCACCCGGCACTGCTCCCCCAGCTCCTCAGCAGGAGTGCTCCCCTCGCTCCCGCAAGGACCTTTCCGTGGCCTGGGTCCTTCACCTCCCCCACAGTCCTCACCTCCTTGGTGGGGCCGCCCACGTAAGCAGGCCGTTCTGCCCTGGAGCACGAGGCAGCCAGTCCAGGACCAGATCCTCCTTCCTGCAGATTCCTTTCCTTTCCTAGGCGACCCGTACCCCACTCGGGTGCCAGGCTTGCCCTCTTTACCCCCCCCACCCAGCGGGCTCCCTTCCCTGCCTGTGCACTGCGGGAGTCCCTGCCGTGCTCTCTTGGGATCCACCAAGCTGCCCTGGGCTTCGCCCCACCCCTGCCTCCTCCTCCCTCCTCCCGCCACCCCCACTCTGCAGGCTGACAGGCTCTGGCGGCTGGAAGAGCTGGAGGAACCGTGGGGCCAACACTGCTGGAGAGCTGGGCTGAAGGGGACAGCTGGTGATGCGGGCAGGGAGCTGTGGAGACTCCCCAGGAAAAGCCCCTGGTGACCTGGGGGCTGGGATCCTGGAGCATGGGACTTGAGCAACCAGAGACAGGTAAATGGTTGAGGGGTGGAAGGCAGAAGGCAGGTGAGGGACCCTGAGGCTGGGGTGGGGCAGTGGAAGCTCAAATGAGTGGGCAGTGAGAGGGGGGAACAAGGTTTAGCTGGGGGGTCCCCCACCGTCTTCAGCAGGAAATCAGAGACTGGACGTTAAAACCTAAAGAGACTTAAAATGTGGTTTGAGGGGACTAGGGGCCAGAGCAAGTGGAGGGCCCTCATTCCACACTGACTACAGGCCAACTTGGTCACCTTACCCCTGGGGACTCAGTTTCCCCATCTGTTTACCAGAGCCGCTCCAGCTTCGGTGCTGCCGACCTGGGAAGAGCGACGCTCTTTGGCTTAGGAAAGAGGGGAGCCTAGTAACAGTCTCTCCTTGGAGAGGGGGCGGCTGTTGAGTGAGCTGTGCAGCTGCTGGGTGCCACCAGGGCCGGCCACTCAGCCTGCTGATTAAAGGTGCAGCTGCTCCACCTGCCCCAGACCCTGTGCGTCCACAGTGTGCTCAGTGATCCTGACGCTCCATCTGCCTCCCAGCTCTGGAGGATGAAGGTCCCCGACAGCACCACGCAGTCCCCGCTGCCAAGACTTCTTCCCATCAGTAGGGATCAGGGCCAGTGTGGAGGTGGGACAGGGCAGGGGTGGAATGTTCATGGCAATAGAGACCCTGGGGTCTGCACAGAGCAGGGTTGAACAGAAAGACCTGAGTTGGGCTGGGGCTGCTGGTGGCCCAAGTTGGAACGGGAACAAATGCTCTAACCCTGTCCTTCCACCCTCCCTAGCAGGCCAGCCGAGAGCAACCCTGCTGCCCACATCCAATGGTAGTGGGCCAGGCCAGGAGTGGGAAGGCCACTGGCCAGAGATCCCAGAGAAGTCACCGTGCGTGGTTGGTGTCATTCCTGTCATCTACTACAGTGTTCTGCTGAGCTTGGGGCTGCCTGGTGAGTGGGGACTGGGGCTGGGGTCTTAGACATGGCCAGAAATTGGGGTCCTCCTTCAATGGGAGCCAGTCCTCTGTGCTGGCCCCTGAGACCCAGGATCATAGATCACAGGTCTCCACCTGCCTTTGTCGGTGGGGGGGGGGGGTGTTCTGGGTCACCTGGGAGCAAGGCATAGAAGGGAGGGAAAGTGAGGGGCAGGGACTCCGCATGCGCAAAGCTGACCCTCTCGGAGGGACTGCATCCTTTCCTAGAGGCAGTGTGTGCATGGGGTGGGGGCTGCACAGAGCACAGGGCAGGTGGTCTTGCCTGGGGGATTCCCCAAGCCTGGTAAGTTAACCACACCTTGTCTGGGGACGCCTCTGCCCCAGAGGACACAGAATCCCTGAAAAGGACGTGGTGGGGGGAATTCCACAGGACCACAGGTGACCACCTGCCTGGGTGTTCACCCACGTGTTACCCGGTGGTCCGTGGCCTGGGGTGTGGAAGGACAGGGAAGGGCTGACAAAGTGCGGTTTTTGTTTTGATTTCTCAGTGCTGGGACTGGGACCCGGGACCTCAGGGGGCATGCTAGGCGGGAGCTCTTCCATGGAGCTACATCCCTGGCTGGCAAAGTGGGTTTGGGGAAGGATCTAGAAAGACACGAGAAGCCAGAACTGGCCGCAGCCCTGGCAGGTGGGGAGGGATGGTGAAACCCTCGGGAAAGCAGACTCTGAGCTTCCTTCCCCTCTACCACCGCTGGTCCCTCTCTCCGTGACCTTGCATTCCGCAAACTCACCTGCCACGACCTCAACTGCCATCAGCCAACCTCCTGACCTCAGTGGCCCTGGCCCGCCTCGCCGCCAAGACCAGGAAGCCCTCCTACTACTACCTCCTGGCGCTCACGGGCTCCGACATCACCACCCAGGTGGTCATCGTGTTCGTGGGCTTCCTCCTGCAGGGCGCGCTCCTGGCCCGCCAGGTACCCCAGGCCGTGGTGCGCGTGGCTAACGTCCTGGAGTTTGCCGCCAACCATGCCTCAGTCTGGGTCACCGTCCTGCTGACCGTTGACCGCTACAACGCCCTGTGCCACCCCCTGCGCCACCGGGCCACCTCATCCCCAGGCAGGACCCGCAGGGCTATTGCTGCTGTCCTCAGCGCCGCCCTGCTGACTGGCATCCCCTTCTACTGGTGGCTGGATGTGTGGAGGGACACGGGCCCCCCTGGCACGCTGGACGAGGTCCTCAAGTGGGCCCACTGCCTCATCGTCTTCTTCATCCCTTGCAGCGTTTTCCTGGTCAGCAACTCAGCCATCGTCCTCCAGCTGCGGAAGAGGGGACGGAGCGGGCTGCGGCCCTGGGTGGGCAAGAGCACAGCCATCCTCCTGGGGGTCACCTTGCTCTTTGCCCTTCTGTGGGCACCCCGAATCTTCGTCATGCTCTACCACCTGTATGTGGCCCCCGTCCACCGGGACTGGAGGGTCCACCTGGCCCTGGATGTGGCCAACATGGTGGCCATGCTCAACACAGCAGTCAACTTTGGCCTCTACTGCTTTGTCAGCAAGACTTTCCGGGCCACTGTCCAGCAGGTCATCCATGATGCCCACCTGCCCTGCACCCTGGGGTCACAGCCAGAGGGCATGGTGGGGGAGCCTGTGCTGAGGCCCCCAGAACCCCCCAAAGGGGCGGGGTTGTAGAGGAAGGTGTGAGTCGTCTCCTGGCCTGTCCCCTTCCTGGGGCCGGCCTCCCAAGTTTCCTGAACTGAGATTCTCAGGCTCCCATCGCCAACACCGGGTTTGAGAAGGAAGACAATCTGCAGGATTCCAGGCCTTTCCAGCCTGGGGGAACCAAACGTGTTTGACTGAGCAATGGGTGGGGGGAGCTACTTGGGAGAGAGAAGTCCCCAGGGCATGCTGGAAGGGGGTGGTCTTAAAGCGTACTGGATGCCCCCAGACCATCTCAGCCATCCCTGGGGCACAAGCCTCTAGGTATTAAACACCCTGCTTTGATTCTGCATTACTCCATGCTGGGAGCCAGATCAGACTCGGGGTCCAGAGTGGACTCTGGGGCTGAGGTTTTTGTTATTGCCATTGAGAGAGGAGTAGCCTCTCCGCCCTGGGCTCCAGGAGCTCAGGAAGGAGGCACTTAGCTGGAGGTGCCCCCGCGCCCCCCCCCCCCAGAGCCCACTCCTCTATGGGAAGGTCCTACCTCCAGCAAAGGCAGGAAGGAGGTGGCTGACCTCATGGGCTGGGAGGGCCTCTGCCTGGCCCTGGCCCTGGCCCGGCCTCTGAGCTGCGAGCCTGGGAAGGCAGCTGGGAGAGCAGGAGAGCGGGAGGGAGAGCGTGGCAGATGGAACTCCCACCTGCCCCAAGCCTTGGGTAAACACATTAGCCGGCTCAGCTGCGCCCCTTTCTGCTTCCCGGTCAGCCTGAGCTGACCTTTCCCCTGAACGGGAGGTTCAGACCCAGCCTCAAGCCCGCCCAGCCCTCAGCGGGTGACCCGGGAGAGAGAGCTGATGTGCTCCGGGCCCACGACTGGTGCAGAATGAATGTTCAGCTTCCCGCCTCCCTGTCTGCTTCTCCCCAGAGCAGGGACATCCAGAAAGGGAGTTAGGGCCACAACCGGAAAAAAGGTGGGCAGGTGCCCAGTCCCTTAGCCACCATACTCAGCTCCAAAAAGCTCTGAAAACCGAGATGTCATTCCCAAGAGTGCCACAAACACATAGTGACCTGACCTCAACTGGTGAGACCATCCCTGGTCTTGGTGTAGTCCTGGCACGTGAAGACGGGTAGGAGTAGGCAGGGTAGGCTGCTAGGGGCTATGTAGACAGGCAAGACCGCCGGGGTGGGGGTGCCTCGGCCACGGTGCCCGTGTTCCTGTCTCCGCATTGACTTCGTCTATCATTACCCGTTGTTAGCATTTAGGGATGGTTATCTGTCACGTGTCTCTCAACTCTTCCCAAGCCTATATATGATTTTTGCTGGTTTTGCTTGAAGAATTATTTTCTGGACTCCATGCATGTTCATTTCCTCTGTGTGTGTGTGTGTGTGTGTGTGTCAGTGTGCGTGGTGCTGGGTGTCACATTCTACCACTGAGCTACCCTGCCCCCCCCAGCCCTTTTTATTTTGAGGCAGGATCTTGGTAAGTTGCCACGGCGGGCTTTGAACTGTGATCCTTCAGCCTTGGCCTCCCAGCAGCTGGGATTACAGGTGCGCACCACGGCGCCCAGCTACGAGTCAGCTTTCTCGGCTGCTGTAAGGAAGACCTGCAGACGGGGTGGCTTAAACAATACAAATGCATTTTCTCACAGGTCTGGGGGACAGAAGTCTAAGATGAAGGTATGAACGGGCCAGGTTCCTCCGTTCTCCTTGGCTTGCCTGCAGTGGGCCGCCTTGTCACTGCGTCCTCATTGGGTTTTCCTCTGTGCACCCAGACCCCTGGCGTCTCTCTCTGTGTGTCCTAATCTCTTCTTATAAGGACACCAGTCAGCTGGGTTAGGTGGTGCACACCTGTAACCCCAGCAGCTTGGGAAGCTGAGGCAGGAGGACTGCAAGTTTAAGGTCAGCCTCAGCAACTTACTAAGGCCCTAAGCAACTTAGGGAGACTCTGTCTCAAAGTAAAAAGGGCCAGGGATGTGGCTATGCGGGGATGTGGGAAAGCGCCCCTGGGTTCAATCCCCAGGACATGCTGGATTAGCTCGAACCCTAATAGCTTTGTTTTAACTTAACTACCTCTCAGGGGGACTATCACCTAATACTGTCACATTTTGAGATACGGTCACCGAGAGTTAGGCCTTCAACATATGAATGGGGGCCCACCCCCCGCTATCCATAACGCTATGGTTATTTTTGCCTGTGTATCAGTCTGTGATGAAAGGAACCTTCCCGTAGCTTTCCCCGGACTGTCCCTAGCCTTCCTCTTCTCCCTGGTTGGTGTCCAGGGATTCGAAGGCAGTCTTGGGTCTTTAAACCTGATTTCTCCTTTCTTCACGAATGCTTCAAAGCCCTTGAAGGTTTGGAAGACCTCAATGAAGCATCTGAGAGTGGTTCTTTTCTTAGTCACTTGCCAGAGGCTAATATAGATCTTAAATTCCACTCTGAGAGTGTTTTTTTTTTTTCTTCCTATCTTCCTCCCCACCTCTCTGTCTTTCTAACAGACAGGGTCTTACTATGTTGCTGGAGCTGGCCTCGAACTCCTGGGCTCCAGCGATCCTCCTGCCTTGGACTTCCAAGTAGCTGGACTTAGTCGCGGCTGGGTTGCCAGCCCCCGTTTCCCGCTACCGTTCGTACTTACTCTCAGGCTCGCCAGAGCTTCTGGGTTCTCTTTGTTGCTCCCACCTCCAGCAGTGTTCCTCGTTCTGGGCTGGATTCCGTGATGACAGAGTCCCCTGTGTCACTGTCACAGCCTTCCTCCGAGCAGACTTCTTTTGTTCCTTGGAATGAACGTCAAGATACCCAGCCTGCTTACACATGATGTTCTCACTCCCCCTGCCCCAGGTGTAGCCTCTCCCCCTCTAAATTCCCCACTCAGTTTTTCCCCTGAGGGCCCCCTACTACTCTTCCCCCTTCCAAAGTTTTTGTTTTTTGGCCTCTATTAGTCTGTTTTCTGCTGTTATAACAAAATACTGGGAGACTGGGAAATTTATAAAGAACAGAGGTTTATTTGGCTTACGTTCCTGGAGAGCATCTGCTCCGCACCTGGTGAGGGCCACGTGCTGCATCATAACCATGTGGAGGGCACCTGTGGCAGAACAGGACAAGTGTACCAGCTCAGGTGTCTCTTTCTCTTGCCTGCACCCAGGCAATGGCCTACCCATGGCAGGGGAGAGACGGGAACAGGGAGACAGGCTTCTGGAGAGACCTTGCCAAGTCTCTTCAGCACCCCTGGCCCAGGCAGGGAAGGAGTTCCCAGAAAACTAGTTTCTATATGGGACATTGAGCCCCTTGGTCATCCAGGCTGTGGATCCCCTGGGACAGTCTTTGGACTGGAGTCTAGGAAACCTTGCCACCACCCCAGCCTGCCCTGACCTCCTCAATGAGAGAGGCTCAAGCCCTCACTGGGTCCTGAGCCCAACTCCAGCGGCTCGGACAGCAGGGGGCACTGCAGGGCCGCTGGCTGGACAATTGGTAGGAGCAGGAGGACCTTTAAACCAGCTGCTCCTGCCCGCGGCCCCACGCACAGCTGGAGGTCACTGAGTGGGAGGGCTCAGCTGTTCCCCAGGCCATCTCCAACCTGAAGCCACGTCCCCCATGCTGGGTTTGGCCAGCCCAGAGGGCCGCAGGTCTTGCAATTTCCCTACACCACTCTGGTGGTTTCCTGTGCAAGGCAAGTTATGAAGGGCCCTTTCATCACCGTCTCTCGGCCCCTCCATCTGCAGGGTCTTGCCAGACCCTCCTGCTGGCCTCAGATCTGCTGGCCTGCCCTCCCCACCGGGGAGCTCTGCCACCTGGGTTTAGTCAGCTTGCCCCCTCCAGTCCAGTTCCACTAGGACCCCCCACCCCACCCCAGGCCGGTGGTCCCTGTACTGGGCAGCTGCTTGGGCATCCTGCCTCCAAGGAGTCTGAACCTTGGCGGTGAGCCCCCCCCCCCCCGTAGCCTGAGTCCTGCCCTGAGGCCTTCAGCTCCTGTTCAAGAAGCCTGGAGGGGACCCACCCTGGGGAGAAGTGGGCCCCCCGTCCTGTGAGGGTGAGCTGGGGCCTCCTCAGCTTTCCCTGGAGAAGGAGGTCCGATGGCCGCTGAGGGCTGTGGGCCCACCTGCCCTCTCTGAGTCCTTCTGGACCTTGGGGGTGGGGAATGAAGGAAGGGTGGTGAGGCCCAGTGTGTCTCCTTCCTCCCCAAACCCCGGCCTGGCATGAAGGGCAGGGTCCCTCCTCTCCCTCCGCTGGGCCTGGGCAGGGGCCTTCGTCTGACCTAGTGCCTTTCCCTCCTGCCCACGCTCTTCCCAGGGCTGCCGGCTGGAAGAGGCCCTCGGTCTGCGGTGGTTCTTTCCCGGAGTCCTCGGGTATATTTAGCAGGCAGGGCAGGGCGGGCGGCAGCCGAGGGAAGCCAGAGCGGCTTCACCACGCCCTCCTCGAGGGGGTGCATGCTCCAGAGCTGGGTGGGTGGGAAGGAGGCCCCTGAGGCGCAGGGAAGGGGCTCTTTGTCCCTCTGGAGACGGCTCCCGCTCTCCCTCAGGTGTGTACGCCTCGCTTCACCCAAAGACTTCTCCCCGAGAGAGCCGGCGATTCTCCTTGACCGTGCGTCTGATTTCCTAAATAAATCTGTCTCTGGGGGGAAAGAGGCAGAGGGAAGAGGGCAGCGGAACTGAGTTGACAGTAACTGGAGGCTGCTGTGCGGAGAGGACTTCCGGGCCCTGTAGGCAAGGGGTCGCTCTTTATACATAGAAGGACCCTGTGACCCAGTCTCCCAGGGACCTGGGGGACCGTGGAAAAGAGGCTGGGAACAAGAGTTTCATGGTGCAGGCAGCTGGGCAGGGCTGGCTGCCACCCCCTGAACTGTCGGGGACCCCGGGGCAGGAACATGGTGGCAAGGAGCCCCTGGGCTGGAAGTCCTGGGTGGACCAGGTGCCCACCCTCCCGGAGCTGTGCCTCCACCTGGGGATGCACCCAGCTCTGGGGAGGTCAGTGGAGACAGGGCAGTAGGTTTCCTCTGTCCTCCAGTGAGAGTCCTCCAAGGCCCTGCCTTGAGTGATGTAACCGCCACGTGAACGGCAGGCTGAGCAGAAACCTGTGAACTCCCTGCCTTCCCTCCCCTCAGGGGTCAGGGACATGGGGAAGTTCCCACAGGTGAAGCCAGATTTAAAGATAGGTAGTTAGTGCAGTTGGGTAAATGGCTCTAATATCCAGTCTGGTAAAGGAAATGGAGTCCAGTTGGAAAATGGGGAATTGAAATGTTAACTCCTCAAGGCCCCAGGCCGTCCTAAAGAACTGTAAATGAAGCAGCTCCCAGCAAAACAGGGAGATGCTGATCAAACCACCCTGGCCCTTCCTGCCCAGATCACTCCTCCTGCCCCATCGGTCTACCTGTTTCCCACCTTTCTGCCTTCCCACCTGCATCCCCCACACAGGCAAGACAGAGGGAAATCAGGACAGGAATGTGGGGGCACAAAAGACCTTGGATATAAAAGGGAGAAGACAGAAGACCTCCCTCCTTCTTCCTGGGGGTGGGGACGTCTTATCTGCTGTCCTTTAATAAAGCCTCCACTTTCCACTCCTCCCAGGCTTCTCTGGTGTTACACTTCAGCATTGGGGGGGGGGGGAAGGACCATGGGAAACGCCGGTGGTAACACGAGGACGATAATTTGTTTTTTTGTTTTTTTTTTGGCTCTGGGTGGATAGAGAAGGCTGGGGAGATCCTAGGTGACAGGGGGGCAGCCAGCATGGAGGGACACCAGGCGCCTCTGCAGGGTATGTACCCTGAGTTTGGAGGAGACCAAAGGACACAATGCTCATGCCCTCTGTGGCCCCTGGGGCACTTGTGGGGAGAAAGTGAGAGCCCTGGAGGGAGGAGAGTGCTCTCCATGGGTGCTAGGGTAGAAAAGGCCATCACTGCGTCTCAGCTGCCTTCCCAAACTGCATGACGGAGGCTTCAGCTTGTCCTGCTCCTCTGTTGGCTCTGCGCCCATAGGGGTTAGCCCTGGGTCCAGGGATCCCCAGATGTCCTTCCAGGCTGCAGACATGTACCCAGAGGTGATCTGGAAGGAAGAGCCGATCAGGCGTGAGTGTAGGTGACCTGGCATCCCCGCTGCCAGGACCCGCAGCCGCCCAGCTGGTTCCTCCCAAGAAGCAGCGGTGGAGCAGCGGAGTGGTGACCGGGGTGGGTCGTAGCCCTGGTGGCAAGCCTGGCCTATGGCCACATGAAGCTGCAGGGCAGTCCTGGGAGGCCCAGCTGGCCAGTGCCCAGGTGAGC